CGCGAGGAAGGGCGGCCCAGCTCTGCGCCTCAGCATCCGCCACAACCCACCCCCGAGGTGCTCACTAAGAACATGACTCCCCACAGCAAATTAAGCACAGGGGATGCGCAAACTCAGCGGTGACCCCGCACAACACCCAGTGACGCTCCACGCTCCTGCTTGGGCTCGTTGGGCCCTTCTGGGAGAAGCTTTTGAGCCCCAGCTAGCACACACGTACACCGAGCGTCAAGAGCCTGGGCAAGCAGTCCCTGCGTACTCAGAAGGCTCCAGTTCCTGAGGATTAAAAAGCTGCTGAGCTTTGCAGCTTGTTTTCTGGCATGTGAGCCCGGGGTTATGCGAAATGACAACACTAACCACCTCCGGGAGGCAGCTGGGTCATGCCAGCTTACTCGCCAGCATTGATTTTGATGTTTGTTCTATTTCAGTGAAGTCTACACACAGCTACCGCAAAGCCCTCTCACGGCCGCTTCCAGCCTGAGACGGCAGCACGAGCCACGGTGAGGAACGGAAACCATGACCAGGCAAACTCCAGCTCCAAGTCTGACACGCGGGGGTGGGTGTTTGTTCTGCCCAGCCACTCACAGGGTAGCTAGACTAAAACAGCTTCTTCACCACTGCTTTCCAGACCTACATCTTCCCCTCTGTCTCAAAACACCAGATAACTGAGATTTTGGGGCTCGGCATACCCACCTCAACCCACCTAACCCTTGGACAAGGGGGTCTTGCCCTACTTGAAGCTGAGATTTAAGTTTGACCTTGGGCTCTGCCATTTCCCTGTTGACAAACCTTCCCTGCAGCTTGTTTCTTTCTGTCTCATCAACAAAAAAGCAACGTGATACCTGGAACAGACCCCCCTAAAGCTGGAGGGGGAAGGTAGCAAGTTCCACCGTTAACTAAGCTCTACTGTGAGGTGCAGTGGGTGCAGCCCACCCTAAACCCACACCCATCACCACTGCCTGCTGGTGCTGAAGCACTTTCAGCCAGGAGAAGACAGGGCAGCACTGGTAAGCCATTTCTCCTGTTGTACTACTCCCAGGGCTCCCAGCTCCACCCAGAGGAGAGGGCAGAAGGATTTCCTGGTGTTCACTGCTCTCCCTTCTGCCTGCCTGTCCTGCCGGAGCCCCCAGACTCACCTCCGACACTCGCTGACTCCCCCCCGACACTCGCTGCAGGTTCCGGCTTGCAATGACTGTCCGCCAGCCATGCCTGCAAAGAAGGGGCTAGTGAGAAGGACCACACAGTGCTGGCTCCTCACAGTCAGCTTGGACCTCCGGGGATTACCTGGAGTTCGGCCGGTGTGCGGCGGGAGGTGGCACAACGCCCTTGGAGGCACTGCTGCTCCTCCAGGCCCACAGGATTCAACGAGGGGGAGAGTGCCAGCGCACAAGAGACCCAT